AATTACAAATAAAAGTTTATTCCCAAGCATCCACATGCTCTTTTTATTTCTAAAATGAAATTTAAAAGCACATGGCTTCTATACAGCAAAATAATCAGTCCGTGTTTACTTAAACGGTTAGTGACGGATATGTGCGCACGCAATTTACGACTTTGCAGAGGTCGATTTCGGAGCGAGGCGGTCCAAAAAAGCGTCTCGCGTTTTTTTTCTTTCTTTCTTTTTTCTTCGCGTGAACTGACTAAATAGTCGCCCGGCAAGATGGTAAGGCCGCGCATGCCAAGATGGTACTCGTAAACGGGGCTCATGACAGTTTCGGCGTCGCCTGTCGCCCGCTGACAGCTGACAGTCGCCGTGCTTTACGAGCGGGCGCGGTGCGCCGCCCAGCCGCAGACGTCTCCGCTGCTGCCCCTGGACGTGCTCGTGCGGCAGTGGCGGCGCGGCGGTGGGGGACGCACAGTGGGTGGAAAGACGAGGGAAAAAAAGAAAGGGAAAAAAAAGAAAAAGAAAGATAGAAAGAAAAAAAGAAAAAAGAAAAAAGAGAAAAAAGAAAAAAGAAAAAAGAAAAAAGAAAGGAAAAAAGAAAAAGAAAAAAAGAAAAAAAAGCAAAAGTCAACTTTTTTTTAAATTCACATCATTCAATCATATATGAAGATACAAATGTCTGTCAAGTGATGTTTAGTACAATTGTTTAAATATTTTGGTTGCATTTTACGAAAGAACCGCAAAAATGGGACGTTTTATTAATACCCATAGTCAAACGTATTCGTGTGTATTTGGGATTCCAATTTATCAATAAATGTAATTGTTATCAAACTGCATCGCTAGCTTGTTACCTAGCGGTAGGCTGCTCTAATCAGCAGTTTCCTCTGGTTTCTACAATTAACACCAGGTTAATGCCGGAGTAGTGCCCTAACAAACGGGCCGCGGGCCGCGTGCGATGTTTCTTTCCCCTTCCTTGTACTATCCGCGCCCCTTAAATATACACACACTCGCGTACACTACGGATCAGCCGGGAACTTAGGGCTTGTGGGCTGTGCCAAATGGAGGAGATGAACACCACCGTACACTGACATGTAGGTCTGTAACGGATCTCATCACGAAGCAAAAGAACACAGCGACCTTCGGTGATACAAAAATCGCTACCCTTACGGGAATAATGTTTATAGCAGTTAACGAGCTCAGAATCGCGAAATAATTAATAAATCCGCTCACAGAAGCCGGAATCTAGAATTCTCCCCCAGGCAGCGACAGGACACAGCTGGCGAGACTTCGCCATCGTCGCGTCGGCACCGAAAGTAGATTCTATGACCTCCCAGTCTACGAAGGCACAGTTGTAAATTTCATTTCATTGCGAGAAGACATTTTTGCCCTCCTTTTTGTCAGTTCAGTCTTCAGTGCTGCGATTGCGGCGCAAATGACTGCCGCCCGCATTCAGTGGCGGCGTGGCCCCTAGCCGCCATGTTGGAACTCTTGCTCAATGTCTTTGCCTTAGCAAACCTTTAAAACGTTAATTACTCGCTCTCCTTTCGTATAATTGTTTTCCTTCGTAACATAATTGCATGTCAATCGAGTCTTTGCGAACTCTTGTTTATTTTATCTTCAATGATATCATTTTCTCGCTTAACGCAATAGGAGCTAGAATATTTTATTTATATTCTCGAGGGAATGTGGTCGAAGGTTGGGTATGATTATATCGCTTTCACTAGACAAAAAACAGCATATTGTGTTACTTATTAAAGCCACTAATTTCATTGTATTCTTCTAATCCTTTTTTTAGAAACCATAAAAAATATCAACATTTCAAATGAAACGGGTTTTGTTCAAAAAAATACATTGTTTTTTATTTGAAATTGAAACAGATTGTTGTGATTGAGAAACCGCGACACTAAATGAACAAGAAACAAGAAAAAAGACGGAATCTGTGGTCAGTACGTCGCAGTTAACTGCAGAACAGGATTTAACCGGACTAGACTGGAAATATTTTATGTAATACACTGCATAATACTAACAGCTTGTGATGTAACAATTGTAAAACGATTAGGATCTATTAACTTTTTTACGAATGCACATAAAAGGGACGATGCCAATCTAATGGCATGCGAAGCACTCAAATTTCTCAGAGGTTTGAAAACTTTATGACGCCGTGAAAAAAATTAAAACTATTTATTTTGCTTCGACATTAAAACACAAATTGATGCATTGAAGATTTTCTCTTATCATTTCTGATTAACATTATGTTCTTTTAGAGCTATTATAGTATGAAATGCTAAGCCTTTAGAGAAAAAGTATGTAAATTTGTAAAAATTGAAAAAAACAATTTGGAAGAAACTGTGCAATGTAGAGTCAGAAGAAATAAGCAAAAATCTCACAAGTCCACAACTCGACTCAACAGAGAACACGAAACTGGATTGCCTGCATTCCTATCTCAGAATGCCAACTCACGAATGTTGTTAATTAAGCCGGGGATGTATAAATTGGGCGGTCCTCGGGCTGAATGCTAAAACTACACCAGACAGCATAAATACGAGTAACATCTACCCGGCAATAAGAGAATGGCCGAGGGCCACGGGAGATGGACCTGCGTTGTAAGATCAAAGAAGTGCGGTGATTATAAGACAAAAGCAACCGACGGTTGGTGTCGTGTAACGTGTCATTCGTCTGTTTCAAACTGAAACAAAAATAGCCGGCTGAGTCACGAGAGATGCAGAGTGAACACATGGCAGCCACAAATCTGAATTAACGTTATGACCCAGCCCTCAATTCATTATGACACAAGCTACGAAATATCACTGACGACGTGTGAAGAGTTTGATATGTACCAGCTCCTGTGCGAAACAATGTACGAGTGTACTCCGAAACCAAAGCTCTTGGGTAACATTGAATTTCTTAACGCCAGAATCGAATGTTTCTAGGTTTCGGGCAGAAGAAATGCTGGATATGTTCTCATTAAATTGAATTCATGATTTCTGGAATAAAATCTACATTACTTACCAGTGTTTCTTAAGTAAAGCCACAAAAATATTTAGGTGTCCCACCAACTATAGGCCACCCCCATAACTTCTAAACGGTTCCCGATATCGAAATGCCGTTTTCGCTTAAAAATGAGAAATCATGGGGCAAGTAACATACCTTAGAGATTTGTCATATAATGCCAGAAAGTCTAATTCTATTCTCAAATTACTATCAAAATACGAACATATGATACATCATTTTATTCCGCTTTTCGTGATATAATCATTAGTGGTGAGACAAATATATAGTTCCATTTAAAAAATTAAAGTTGATAAAATTTCTCAAAAACAACCAATATTATATACAATATCTATACGCCATGCTACTTGCCCCATGATTCCGCATTGTTCTGCATATACTCCATTTCGATATCCTGAACCGTTTAGAAATTACGGGAGTGGTCCATAGTTGGTGGGACACCAGTATAATGTATTAACTCAAACCTTCTCAACTAGCAATACCGAAATTTATTTCACTAGCTATTGACAAAGAGTATTTTTCAAATAGTAAGGCGAACGTTTCTTGGGTTTCAAGTGTTTCGCGGTAATACATTAAATATTCAAAACCGATGAATAATGAATTCCTCAATAAATCAATGGCCAAGAAATCCACCAAAAATTCTATTCGATACCGATTTCCAATTTTCTTATTCATTAGGAAAGAGGTTTCGGAATATTTTATTTCGGAGGTGAGTGCTAATTTTAAATGATAGTAAAATGTATAGGGTGTAATGACGTTCTGGAAAATAAAAATAATTTATGAAGATACGAGCTTCAATAATATCTTAAATTTAAAACATCGAAAGAATTTGTCGAGTGCAACCTCCAAAAATAAACAGGGATGGTGGGCACCATCCCTACAACATCGCTTCGGCGGCCTCTACAACGACGTTCGCCAGCAGCCGGCTCCGAGCGAGGAGCGGAAGAAAGCCAAGGAGCGGAGCGGAGGACTGACCTCTCGTCGCAGGCGCAGTGCATGATGGTGTTGATGCGCCAGTTGAAGAGGCCGTACTTGTCCTCGAAGGCGGAGATGTAGAAGGGGCACGCGTTGTCGTGCACGCGGCAGCACTTGTCGGCGCCGCTGAAGCCGCCCAGCTGCGTGTACTTGATGGCGCTGCGGCCCTTGCCGCACCACTTGGTGCCGGGGACCCGCAGCAGGTCCATCAGCTCGCGCTTCCGCCTGCAATGGTGCCAGCGCGCACTCACCTTCAATGCCTGCCGCCACTGGTTCTGCTGGTGCCGCCGCCGCCGCCGCTTCCGAAGCCGTTGCCGCCGCCGCCGCCGCCGCCTCCCTTCCCGAGAGCCCCGTGGGAGGTACCCGTCACGCAGATATCGTCTGGGGAATGACTCTGGAGGTTTCTAATGGGCGTTCGTGCGGTGTCTTTCAATGCTCAGATCAATTCGGATTCTAACCTTATACCTTTCACCTTCAACCTCAACCATCTACGTTGTTCGGTTTATTTTAAGGCCGGCCAATCTTAACGTTCTTTGTGTTAACAACATGAGAAGGTAGTTCTCCTCGTATTGAAAATTAATTTCACGTCGTTGAAATGACATGGAAGAAGCAAAGAAACGATTAATTAAGGGCTGTTATTGAATATTGGTATTAATTCTGTCTTTGAATGTCTAACATAGGCTGCCGTAAGTAATTTTAACTTCTTTCCAAAAAATATTTTAATATAATGAATTTATTCATGGCACGAGCTCTTTATTTTGCAATTACGAATGCTCTTTCTATTCCTAAGTTTAGTTAGTACCTTTGCGTTGAGTTGAAACTGTCTTTGCTTTAAATTCATTTACAGAATCTGATTTGACATTGTACGTTTAATAAAAAGCACGAACGATGCAGACTGCGCTTTGTTACACACATATATACTGTTTTGATTTATTTTTATCTCTCCTAGACGATATGAGCGTGGCGTTACCTGGAATCGAACTAGTCCGTGAAAGTCCCCCCCCCCCGTGTGGTTTCGCAGTCAGTGTCCTCACCTGGTGTCACAGTGGCAGTGACTGATGGTGAAAGGACGCAAGTTGAACATGTTGTACTTGTTGGTAAAAGCCGGGATGTTGGTCTTGCAGTTGTCGTGCCGCCGACAGCAACGATCCATCAGAGACAACGGCCCCAGCTCACCGTATCGGGTCGCAGTCTGGTGGGGCCCGCACCATTTGGTTCCTGGTACTATAAAGTTTTCACTGATCCCTCGTTTAAACCTGGAAATGCCATAAAAGGGGAATAGAAAGATAGAGTACGTCCGGGAGATATTACTCGAGGTGTAAAAAAAAGAAAGAGCGACTTCTTTTGATAGTCCCTTTCACCTACGTCGTATGTTAATGAGGCTGGGGAGAGAATGAAGGGTCTTCGATGGTGTTCTTGAATGTCGTGGTGTCTTTGAATCGAGGCACGCAAGGCATTCAGACTTTTTGGCGTCGCATAGAGACAAAATTTGTCTTCGGTTGCTTCACAATGGTTGAGGCAATGTATAAATTTTTAGTATTGAAATGCTCGTTTCGGCAAATTTTTTATTGTAATTGGGTATGGTTATTTGTAAAAAACTTTTTAATGTTTTTATGGTTTTAACAAACTAACAGTTCCAATACGACTTCTTGAATTTCTGAAGCATTAAAGCTAAAGATTTTTGAAGCCAAAATGTAAATAAATTCAAATATTTAATCTAAAAAGTACTTTAAACAATTTAGGCAAGATAGCAGTTACGGTTAACGGAGAAGGTGATTTTCCCGTTACCGAAAAGAAAACATTTTCTAATGTTTCTGATTTTTTATGATGTTTTATTAACATTGATTTTACTTGTGTTTTGTCGTAAACGATTAAAAAGTAACTGCGGAAAAAGTAAAAACTAATATAAATTTGTGTTGCGTAGTATAATAGAAGGCTTCCAAATACATTTCGGTTTTTCATTTCAATATTGATTTTATGGATCATTGTATGCTGGAGATATTACTAAATAATTGGGAAAAATTTCAATTACTTAATAAAAATTATCAGTTCTAAATATTAAATAAAAACTTTACAGACTACAGTAAAAGATAAAAAGAGGTTCAGTACAACGAGAGTAAACATAAAATATAAAGACTATTTGGAACCAAATGCAGAAAACCATCACCATTTTGACATTGACACACGACGAAACAAAAGGGTTAGATATTTGAAATAGTCCAAAAAGAAAAAGATGTGCAAAACACACGGCAAACACAACGCCACACCCGTAAACACAATCTAGCACCGTCCGTTCACTTCCGCCACCAGCTCTAAGATTGAAGGGTAGAGGAGGGACTGAGTGCACTAGTACCAGGAGTCAAACAGCGCTTTCGAGTTCGGGGATGTGCAGTTAATGTTCAGATTCGTGAGCGCGTGGCCCCCCGTGCTAGCAACAGAGTCCGTGTGACGGCTGGAGGCGGCGGCGGCGGCGGCTGCGGAGGTGGCAGCGGCGGCGGGAGCAGCAGAAAAGCAGCAGAAGCGTGGTGCTGTACACTGTTGAAAGTTACAGATCTAATGCATACTATACATTAGTAGCACTGTGGTAGAGTACATCGGAAATGTTGGGAGACACAGTTGTCTTCAACGGTGGACAAGACCCAGGGATTCATTGAAATTGTTGCCATATTTCTTCAACGTTCTTAAATAATTAAATGTGTTTTTGTTTTTAAGCTAATGAATTGGGTTTTATTTTTTCTGTTTTTAGCCAACGTAAATCAGGAAATGTTGATATTCAATGTTCATTGATTCTACTCCATATTTAATAATACCCCCCTCGATATTAACATTTGAGCTTTAAGTGAGTAAAGTAAATTTATCTAGTTCTGCAAACGTTTAGATGCTCAACTGTAATATATATCAACATTTTTAAATACTTTGTTATGTGGCCAGTAATATAAAATTGAAAGTATTGAGTTGAAGCACTCGTCTGTCTCACAAATAAAGTAATTCCATTAATTTGTGTGTGATTGTATTCGTTTTATGACCTTATTAAAATATAATTTAATAAGGTTAGAAAACTAATTAAATGAAGCAAGATAACAGACGTTGATATATCCTTAAAATAAGTACATAACTATTAAAATCTTTGCAAAGTTGATTTATTTTCAATATACGTTTTCGGGTCTTTCAAGTATGTGATCCTTACGGTTGAGACATACGGATCCTCTTGTTCAGACGATTCTGTCTGGAAACTGTTTTAAACTTAGGCTATACTATATCCCATATTATAATATTGTTCATTAATTTTTCCCATAAAATCGTGAATACAAGGTATTATCATATTAGTCGCCCAAATGATAGATAAAAAAGGCTAGGAAATAATTTACCAATGTAAATCTATAAAATAGAAATAGTCGGTAGTATTTTCGAAAAATAACTTATGTTAATATTAGCAGAACTATGTAATCTTATTTCTCGCCTTTTGTTGAAATTGTAACTGAGGAAGGAAATTGCAGCTGAGGAAGGAAATTGATATTCACAAATCGTGATTTTCGTATCGCCCTCATTAATGCAAGAAAACAAGGAAAATACAACGTTAAATTTTCTACTGATTCCTTAATACTGATCCCTTGGTAGCTCGTAATTATTATTTCCCCCCCTTTTGAACTAAATAAATCGTTATTACGCTAGGCACTAAATTTGACACAAAGACAATTAGTGATACAAGCGACGTGCAAAAAGAAAAGCAAACAAAACAACATACTTGTACATACAATTTTTTCAACTCTCCTGAGAGACTTTGCTCAATACAAAATAAAATACATCACAACTGTTAGGTTTGCAAGGAACAAATATGGTTCGTGCAAAGGCAGTCCACACACTTGGGCACTTACATGCTGAAACATGTGAAATCCATACCAGTCCTTTTCGAAATACCAGCTCCAAGTGGCTTTTTTTCTCTCTTGTAAGTAGAGAACAAATTAAACACAGTCACATGCACACACACACACACACACACACACACACACACACACACACACAATCACCCAAACACAAGTTGACAAAAATGCGTGCTAAGAAGCTTGGTCACTAAGTGAGCTCTAGAAATGCAGAAGTTAAAAGGGCAGGTAACAACTCGCTTGGTAAATACTCTGCCTACAATATATTAAAATGTATTAATGACGTGTGGTAATTGAGGTGTTGAAATCAATAAAAATCAAAAGTGAGATTTGATAATACATTGTAAGTTGATGCCTCATAATATCGTTTTGTGATTTTCTGAATTGAGATGACGAAGTAATAAACTATTCGTGTAAATACACAAAGTACAATTTAACGGCCTTTTGTGATCTGGTATACAGAGCCTCGTTTTTAACTGAATACTTGGAGGGAGCTATAACCTTTGAGACCGCATTTGAACGATAAACATATTGCCAAGATTTTAGAAACATTCCAAGACTGTCATAATTCGATTATTCAATGCAAGGGAAATGATATCGATATCTGCATCTTTAATCATTCAAGAATTGCGAACTTATACCTCTGAATGTCTTCAAATACCCACAGAAATACGTGCGTCGAACACTTGTCCCTGTAGAAGAAGCTCAGGGTGCGAAATTTAGAGGGGCGCAAGGATTTCGAAATAACTTCAATTGTATTAAACTTGATGTACGATAGGCTTCTTAATTCATTGTTAAAGAAGTATTTTACAAATTTAGGTTAATCTGTACCACGTAGAATATCTATGTGACTTCGAACTATTTCCCGAAGGTGAAAATTCGTTTACGCTTTTCATACACATGTGAACTGAACTACTGACAAAATTTGGCAGAATACACCTGACTAAAATAGAGAAAAAATTGATCAAGAAAACTTACAAGAAATACCTGACAATGCTTTTTTTCTTTTCAGAAAAGATAATTTAAAGCGGATCGTCCTGCGCTGTGATGAACTGTCACATATGAACCGTGTTGTCGTTGACGGCAGCTCTCATCAGTGGTATCTGGCCTCATTATTGGTTCATGTGAAGCACAGTGGTCCACCGCATGGTAAGTGAATCATCATAAACTTTTGGAATAGTCTTGTCTTTAAAGTGTTTTGCTAGTATGATCACAGAATCATTCGTACCCATTATCCACCCAGGAGACAGCGGTTATGATGGTAGGTAGAGATCAGATTCATCGGTACCTTCTAGAGTCTTTATTCACGAATTGATGAAGTTGACGTATGTGTAAGGGTCTACATTACAGTTGCATAACAATGGAAACGAGCGCGGAGTCGATGGGAAAAGGGAGCTTGCAACTCGCCCCAATAAGATTTTCGGAGTTTTGGCGAACGCGCGCATGCGCAGATTGGCTTCTGAGGTGGCAGAGCCGTGCCTAAAGGTATCGGAACCGAACGCCGCTACGTACTACACGAAGAAACGTGTTGCCCGAAATTTGGGATGAGGAATGTGGAAAATTGAAACAGTCCCATTTGTTCGTATATGGCATGTTCTTGTGCAATTTAAAGCCGTGAAACCCTTGTTTCATCATTGTGATGGTATTTTCGCTGTAAAACGGATTACAATTGCACGAAGGGAAATAAATAAAAGAATTAAATTTAAAACGTAATGTATGTATTAATTATTTAATATCAATTTAAAAACCGTATGTGATAGAAGTATAATCTGTGCAATTTTTCGTCACCTTCGGAGTATTTATCCCCCTCTGTTTTACTAGATTTAGTTGTATTACGAACGCGCATTGTTGAACTCAAGGTGGGAGTAATGACAGCTATGACCCCCGCAAACGACCAACATTTTTTGTAATGTAGCTCAATTTTATTATCTTGTACGTAGTATTCTCGTTGTGAATACACTCGTACATTTTTAATTTTATGCTAACAATTAACAAAACACTACTATACGAGTATTTATAAATAATATTAAGTAAAATATTGAGTGCAAATGAAAAATTATATCAACTTATTTTACTTTTTACATCTCTTAGATGAAAGTTTCTATCCTGACGACTGCGAGATCGTCCAAAAATGTTATAACAAAATCGATTTTGGAACTCCCTATAAAAAATTGATGTTGAAGAGAAAGAGTAAACATTTGTGGCAGGTCTAAACTAAAGTTTCCCCTCCCCGCTATTGTCAGGACCAAACTGAGACTGTTCCTCTCCCCCGCCCTAAAAACCTTCCTGGAGTCGCCGCCATCCGCGCGCCCTTTGAGTCGGATCCCAAGCCCCCCCTGCGTCGCATCTCAAGGCCCCCTGCGTTGTTCGCCCTCTGTGTCGCATTCCAAGGCCCCCTGTGCTGTTCGCCCTCTGTGTCGCATCCCAAGGCCCTCTGCGTTGTTCGCCCTCTGTGTCGCATCACAAGGCCCCCTGTGCTGTTCGCCCTCTGCGTCGCATCCCAAGGCCCCCTGCGCTGTTCGCTGGAGCGACGCGCGTTTGCGTGCCTGGGATGGCTGAGCGCGCGCCCGCGGCGGCACGGCTGCGGTCTGGGGGCTGCCTGGGGCTTGTTGACATCCAGTCGCGGCGAGAGCAACGACCACGAGGAGGAGGAGGACCTCGGCCAACTGGGCGCACACTAATAGGCCCTCGTTATCTGTTCTCCTCAAATATTTGGGTTCACAGCATTAGACGATCTTTCCGAGAATAAACGCTGGATGGCGAAGCCGCTTCGCGGAAATTAACTTGGCATGTGATATGCTCTATTAGCAAAGCTTCAACGGACCACGTGTGTTGTTGAGAATTGAACATTTTTTTCTGAATTGAATTTTCTAAAACTACTAGAGGCGTAGGTATAAAATTTAAAGTATTTAAGAATTTAAAATTATGTACTAATATAGTTCATACCTAGTTCATTGAATAGTAAAAAAATGTGATTTTGTAGCTGTACGTCAGATTAATCGGATTCAAAACACAATAAATGTAAATATTCTGCCTGTTTTGGTAGCAGATAAATATAAAGCAAAATGGTATTAATTTATTACATTCTGTTATTGCTCATTACGAATCTATTCCTCTTGTGATGCATACGACCTTTGCATTGAGTAGCATTTTTGCTAGAAAGTTGTGATGAGCATTGGGAAGAAACAAGAATCGATAGTAATATAATATTTCTAAAACTACGAGCAAAACCAAGCCATGTTTTTTTAATAAAATATTTGTTCCTGTCAAAATATGTTTCCCCAGATATCTTACAGGATTTTCACAAAATCATCGCAAATCGTGGCTGCTGAGGCAGAAACCAGAGTATGTTACGTAAGGGGTCACCCAGTAATTGGTCCGTAACCCTGTAAAATGCAAGTCGCATCACACTGAATGAACGTATTGGAGCGTTTCCAGTCTTCGCTAACGCTTCTAACAACTGACCTTCGCGATCTTAACCACCAACACCAGTGATTCCTAACAGTACTTTCTCTACATCTTGGGGTATCGCAGACACATCTTATGTGTACAATGTGATGTAAAAATAAAAATAACAAAACGAAGTTTTGCTAAATTTACAGATTAATTTCATTAATTTGACACAACCAAACTTAACGAATATTTGGACTCTAAAGGGGTGAAAATAAAAATATCAAGTTGCCTATTTTTTGTTTGATAGGGAGCCGAATTACTGAGTTTTAAATTTAAATCATGTAATTTCACTGACTAATTTTGCCAAACATTTATTATTACAAATGCCGAAAAGTTAAAACAAAGCTACGTATGGAGATTAAAGATATTAACCATTTGAGAAAGCTTTTGGATGCGATAGACCCTCCACATACTGTTTATTTAATGTTAACATTGCGGCAAAGCAATTTCATATTTTTGGAAATATAAAAATTAACAAAAAAAACAACAAATTTTAAAAACTGCTTTTCTAAATTATATTGTGCAGTATCTAAAAGGCTGCGTTCATTAAAACGTTGAGAACTACTAACTTACAGGATTTATAAAATACAGATGTATTTCCTAGTGTCACAACTCAGATTTTAGGCAAAATGCTCGTTTTTCTCCTCTTCAAATTGCCCTCTACCTATTGGCCACCGAAAGCACGGTGCTCCGTATGGCGAGTAATTATAGGTCATCACGTTTCGTGTTGATTAAAAGGTGCAAAGCCCCTGCCATGCAGGCTTTAGAAGACATATTTCTTAGACCCTTAGCCCAGCATTTAGGCAACATGCTTGGTTTTGCTTCTAATTTGCCTTCTAACCACTAGGCAGCGAAAAGCATGGTGCGTTCTGCAGGGCGGTCTGTCCCACCGAGGTGAGTGGGGGTGGGGTGGGGGTGGAACGTTGTGACAAACAGCTAAAACAACGCAATAAATGGAATGTGAGGGAAATGCATTGTTTAATGGGCAGTGGTTAAAACACTGAACCATACTATCTTAACAGAGATTATTAAGTTTAGCAACGAAATTCGATTTGATTCATTCAAGTTCGCTTCGGTTGCGTATTTCTGAGTCAACGGAAGAAGAAAGAAGAGAAGAGAGGAAGAGTAGGAGGAGGAGAAGGAAACTTCGGCGTTCAGTCTCTGTGAGTTAACGACAGAGGACGGATACGGTGGGAGGTTCAAGCAACGCAATAGTCAGTCACGGAAAGCTGGTATAGCACACCAAAATGCGAGAGTTATTCCTGGTGATCGTACTCTTGACTTTCCTTGCGTAAAACTTCCTAAAACACTTCTAGCGTAAAGTCAGTGGAGTAGAAATTATCTTGTGCTACTCCATAATATGAATTAAGAAATAATCAAACTACAACAATAAAAGTTGAATGAAATAAGAAAATTAAAATGAAACCTTTGGGAACAATTTTTTTCTTCTTCAGTAGTTCTATAACACTGCAAAAGGAGTGCAAGAAAATAATATTGAAGTATGGAAGGACAAAAAGAAGTATAAGAAAAATATGGAATAAAAATAACATAATAAAAAGCTCATTGCTTAGTTGGTGTGGTTAAGTGATCCACGTTGCTTCAGAAGTAAGTAATTTTTATTATGTTATTTGTATCTCACATTATTCTTGCGTTCATTTTTGTCCTTCCATACTTTAATATTATTTTCCTATATACTTTTTGTAGTATTACAGACCCAATGAAGATGGGAAAAGTGTTCTTGAACGTTATTCTGGGATGTTTTAATAAGTATTAAACATTTATTTTTGTGATTTGATAATTTCTTAATTCATATTGTAGAGTATCACAGCATATCTACTACCACCACTGAAATTAACTAGAAATGCTTTAGGAGAACTTACACAAAGAAAGTCAGTCAATTTGTTTTGAGTTAGCTGAACTCAAGTATGTTTCGTGTTAATCGTGTAGTTTGATGGCCGAAGCTTCGCCGTTGACTCCGAAATGCGCAAACGAAACGAGTCGAACTGACAGAATCAAATCGATTTGTATTACTAAATGTAGTGAACCCAACTACCGTAACAGACGTTTTGATTATTTCGTGATTCATATTACTTCTACTTATTTACCAGCATTCCAGAAATTCCATTCATTTACAACAGGGATTCCCAACCGCTTTTGCTTTTAACGACCCTTTATAAAATAATATTTGCTTCACTCTTACGTTTTCTCTATAAAATACAGCATCCATAATCATGATACAAAGAATTGTCATGATTCTAAACATCCTAATTACTTAATTCCTAAAAAATAAAACGGATACGAAATAAGAGGAGCGAATAAGCAATTTATTATTACGTTTTCTTATTTTACATCAGAAAACTGTTGAGTTCATAATTATTTTCTTGCAATCAACGGGATTTCAACTATACCGATAAAGCACTGACGCATACTTCGGCTATTGAGCCCCCAATCGACCCCCTTGATCATTATTGATCCCCGTCAAAATTCGTTGGAACCCCAGGAAGGGTCTGTACCGACACTGTTGGGATTCCCTGATCTATATGCTTGAGCTGTTTGTTCAAATAGACACACAGGGTGCGTAGCGCTTGGCACGTGGCACGTGGCATGTGGTGCATGGCACGTAGCACGTGGTGTGTGGGGCGTGGCGCGTAGCGCAGGACGTTCGACGCTGGACGCGGGAGGCTGGACGCGGGAGGCTGGACGCGGGAGGCTGGACGCGGGAGGCTGGGCGCGGGACGTGTGGCGCGTGGCGCGAGAAGTCGCTCGCTCGCGCGCGCTCACCTCTCGATGTGCTCCTGCGCGTGTCGCTTCTCGTCGGCGCTGCCGTGGCGCTGGCGGTGCGCGAGGCGGCGCAGCTCGCGGTGGCTGCGCTGGCAGCGCGCGCGCAGCAGCGGGTAGTCCAGCCAGCGCGCCACGTCATCCGGCAGCGCCGAGCGCTCGGCGCCCAGCGCGCGGAACGTGACGTTGCGCAGCGCCAGCTCCTCCGCCCCCGCCCCCGCTTCGGCCGCGTGCGCCCGCGCCACGTCCTCGCGGAAGGCGCGCAGGAAGTCCCGCACCACGGGCCGCTGCCGCACGAACTCGCAGTCGCGCAGCGCCTCGTCCGCGCTGTAGATGAGCTGGATGAAGTGCACGCCGTCCGTCAGTTGGCGCAGGATGATGCCTTGCCTGTCCAACACAAGAAAGGAAATGTTGCTTTTAGTTAGTTAGTTAATTACAATTACATTAATTAATTGCAATAATTAATTAATTAATTAATTAATTAATTAATTTGTTTGTTTGTGCTTTTGTTTGTTTGTGTGTTTTTGTTCATTTGTTTGCTTGTTTGTTTGTTTGTGTGTTTGTTTGTTTATTTATTTTTTATTTATTTGTTTGTTTATTTATTTATTTATTTATTTATTTATTTATTTATTTATAATCAACTCTTCATCAATTATTGGGAAAAAAAGTATTTGCCATCAAATGGTATAACTATGTGTCGACAGATATAGTCAAAGCATGTTTACGAGACAAGGATTCCCTCTAACGGTTCCTGTAGTTCTACAACATAATGCCACTTCCCTCCTGAGATAGGAATCTCGTTGATTCCATGAACTTTCTCCCAGGAGCCTATTGAGATTATCATTTTCTCTTCAACATGGTACTCTTGTAGTAGTATACCCAGGCCAGTTGTACCATTTGACGGCACTTATTTTACACTACAAACTCGTACACATTTTCGTAACGTAATTCGTCTCTCATACTGTAATAAGTTCGGTCGGTCTCAAGACAGTTAAATTGTGCACTAGTGGTGATGGCATGCTTACTATTTTCATTCAGGATGGTTTACAGTCTTCCAATTGGCGATGAATGAATGAGGTGATCACACGGGGTGAATAATGATGAGGCGAGATGTATGATTCCGAATGGAATGATAATTCAAATAAGACGTGATGGTGTGAGTCAATCACGCCCGAACCACCTATGAGGGTCTACAACTGCTAAACTCGCATGGATTCTGCTACAAGGCCTTGCACCGTTCAGACAATCAGGGGCTTGGATGGCTAGCAGCATGTGCACATCGGAGGTACTGCTGAAGGCAAGTTAGATTATTGAATTTCCGTATTCCATATATGTCTCTCTAGAGCAGAAATACCGCGTATTACATCCTTGACTGTATCAGTATTAATGTGTCTAAAGGGAGTGCTTTACTTACATCAGTTTTATGTGCAAGGATAACACTACAGTATGTTCAGCGATGCGAGGTAATGCTTTTAACTATAAGTAAGCAAATTCTTACCAACTCCACCATTAAATATTTCCGATTGTTTAGCCTTAGTTCTAAATCATTTTTTGAGCTCGGAGTTGAAATCAAAATTGATTATTTTAATTGTAAGCACGTTAATATTTTCTGCATTCTGAGCGAATTCTTTTCATCTCCTCTGTATTTGTTACTTTACATCCACAATTTTGCATGTAATGGACTTCCGTCTTGGAAAAGAATGGGCGTGAGAATGCGCAGGCAAAGCACTCATGTTAATTCATGGATGCAGCAACGAAACGAAAGCGCGCCGAGTTGGCTCCGCTCCTCAATGGTGATTCATGACGTGAAACCACTTTGATGAGGGCATAGGCTAAACCTACTTGACCTCAATCGACAGTATGTCTCGCGACCATTGTGTTTAGTCTTCTGTTTCGGGGAGTGTCATGGGCCGCTCCTTAACAGTACCAAGGCACTTGCAGTGGCACTGGTTGTGTTAACTCTCGAAGAACGGGTATGCAAATTGAATATTTCCATTTGATTTCATACTGCCGCATGCTTCTGTCAAGACAACCAGGCAACGATTATCTGTCAGAGACATTATACAAACAGTGATGCTCCACAAGAAATGAAACGAATAGTATCCGAACAATGCAGAGAAAAATTAATAGACCCTCTTTGCAAAAAACTGAATACCGGTATATTTGCACCTCAAAAGAAGAGAAATGAATAGCAATCTATTGCGCTTTCTGTGATATGCAGATTAGAATAAAAACATCGGATCTTGCTTGTTGAAAATATTGTGAAACTTGACAAGATGTTTAATTGCTGTCGTGAAATTTAGGAAGTCAGATTGACACTTTCAAATTCTTCGCGAATTGATCACACATGATTGAAGACTTTTCTTAGCAATTATATGGATATGCAATAAAAAAAGATGAGAACACTGAAATTAAAAAAATTAAAAAATTAGCAAATACGCTTATGTGATTTATTTTCATTTGCCAGTGCATGTTAAATATTGTTTGTAGATAATTATGTAATTCCTAACTGTTAATTTTACAATCTCCTGCAATCAAACCGACTTAAGTGTCTCAGGGCATCAATTGATGTCACTCCAGTTCCTCTGACTTGGAGGTCCTAGGTTTCGAGTTCCGACGGTGGCGGGATTTTCAACGCCAGCTAAATAGCTAGGTCGCTGTCTGGAGGAGAATTCTAGCGGCCGGCTGCTCTGATCGGTAGCTTTCCGTGGTTTCTCCGATGAATACCAGGCGAATGTCGGAGTAATACTTAACAAATGTGCCATGGACCGAGCGCAATCTTTCCTTCCTCTTTCTTGTCCTATCCTCACCCCTTACTTACACACACTTTCACTTACAGGCACTACACAACCTCACATGCTGGTAGACCAGTCGGGAGCTACGAGCTTGTCCTGGCTAGGGCGGCGCCCCGTTGTGAGAGACATGTGGTTGGGGAAAACCCCGCAAACCCACAGTAGGTTGGCGCCGTATCTCGCCATTGATTGGGGGAAGATCACAGCAACGTAACTGAATAAAACATGCACTAGACTTACGGGACTAATTACCTTAGACGTCGACACGCCTAGAATTACTAATCAATGAAAAAAGTCTGCCATCAAGGGATTTTGATAACCTCGTCGTTTTTTGTTTCTTTTTAATTTCCCATTTTGTCTTGAAGATACTTTAGGAGAACCCATTGTAATGCAAGATCGCTGCAGCATCTCCACTCTCGATGTTCGAATGCCTCACATCGCATGCTTAACCGTCCAGAACGGCCTGCGCCGCCGGTTCGCACGGTCTCCTCGAGAGCCAATCATATCGCATTAGCTCGAACGGCCGCTCTATTTCCTCCCGTCGCCCCACGTTCGCGACGCGACGCCGAGCGCCCTCGCCCCCCCCCGCGCGTCGCGACGCCAGGGGCGTCGCCTGCACCGCGAGAGCGGCGCGGCGGCCTCGTCTAGGGGTTGGCACGTGCCTCTCCAAGCGGCGCGGTAGAAGCTACGGATGGTCGATTATTAAATAATAATGTATTAATATGTAATCGTTTCCTTTTTTAATTAGATTAATATGCATCGATTAATCGTTCCGAATTAATCGATTAATCTAGTGTAATCTTGTGAAATTTTTCATATATTTTAAACAATGCGTAAAATCGCCAAGTTTTACAATTTTTCTTGGCTCTACTTTTTCAAAATATTTCCACACATCGCTGTTGATTTTTGGCATTTTTTTAGAAGCACAGTACGATTTAAATAATGTTTTGTTAATTCTTTATTTAAATAATATTAACTTCATCACGTTTTCCTTTGTCGCCTTTATTCTCCGACTTATTCTACTACAACATTAACAATATTTATTTGGCTCGAACTCACTGTCTATCGCAGAGGCGGTCGGGAAGGCGAGAGGCTGGAGAAGTCTTCAAGCTTCCGTCGCATAATATTAAGTATGAATTTACGTCGATATGCGTTGTGTCTTCCATGAAACATTAGTATTCCATAATCAGACTCCCTTGCTCTTCAAATTGTTAATCATTTCATAAGTAATACTCACGAGATGTTCTAAGAGTATCAATAAATTTACGATCCTCATAATTTGACATTAATTTGGTTAAAAAGTTCTGAACGTCGAGTGGCTTTTCCCCTATTTCAAGAATAAAACCACGCTTTAGCAAACTGGAATGAAATAAAAATACTTCACGGATTAGGTCCACCTAATCTCGACCACCTTGCCTTTATCCTGGGCAAAGTAGTAATTTTAAGATGACACGTCTCCCATAAATGTCTTTAGATTGCACGGTCAACATTCGTAGCGGCGCAACAAGCTTATATATTTCCTTATTCATTCTTTCGAAAGGTTTTCCCAAATCCTTTCG